GGTACACAATCTCTCTCTCTCTCTCTCTCTCTCTCTCTCTCTCTCTCTCTCTCTCTCTCTCTCTCTCTCTCTCTCTCTCTCTCTCTCTCTCTCTCTCTCTCTCTCTCTCTCTCTCTCTCTTTATATATATATATATATATATATATATATATATATATATATATATATTATGTTTGTATGTATGTATGTATGTATATATATATATATATATATATAATTAATTATATATATATTTATTTATAAATATATATATATATATACACTCTCTCTCTCTCTCTCTATATATATATATATATATATATATATATATATATATATATATATACACTCTCTCTCTCTATGTATATATATATATATATATCTATATATATATATATATATATATATATATATATATATATATATATATATATATATATATATATAATATGTGTGTGTGTGTGTGTGTGTGTGTGTGTGTAACAGGACGATAAGAAGACTGTCTGATTATAACCTACACGCCATATTATTGTTCCAAAATAAAGCATGTACATTTTGGTATTGCTCAAATATATGAGTATTGGTGAATGTTTTGGCGCTTTTGTTGCCCCACAGAAATGTCTTGGAGTGTACTTATTCTATTCCGACCTGTTTGGAACTCAGTTTGTATTCCAGTTGCAATACAAACTTATGAATAGATGTATATTGCATAGTGTTTGTGAAGTGAAAGCAATTTCTTAAAGTGTAAGTAGTTTTCATCGTGTTTAAATTCGCAAAGCATGTTTAGTGTAAACGTTCTGCGTTGTGTTTGCACTGGGAAGGTAAACGTGTTGTGCTTTGTTTACAGTGGGAACGTAAGGTTTAAATTGTAACTGCTCCGCATCGTGATTACAGTGGGAAAGACACTCTTAAAAGTATAAATGGTTTAAAATAATGATGATTACAGTTTTTAATTGTTATTAATAAGGTCTGAAAACGCTGAAGATTTTTGCTGCAGTTTTTAATTGAATAGCTTTTGACATCTCTTGAGCTCATAGACACAATTTTCAATTGAATATGATTTCAAAACCAGTGTTTTAAGTCCAAAACGTGAAAGAGCACTTTGTAATTCCTGGAATAAAAAATACCGTTCCTACCAATTAAAACTGAACACAGTAGTAAATGATTCCAAGTTCTTATTGCAACATGAATTAAGACTTTATTGTAAACACCACCTTTATATACAAACTATCGCCTACCCTCTGACACAACACAATGCACTAAATGTGTGTCATTTTTGGTGTATTTGGATACTTTAGCGTCAATGGAAGTTATCTTTAAAAATCAAGCTAGTGCATTTTTGCGTCACGATTTTTGGCGTCAAAACCACCATAGCATCAAGGAAAATTTTGTATTAGCACACATTGGGTCTGTACAGCAATAAGAGGAATGGATGGTACAGATAAAATGACGTCACGGTACTGGACACTTGCAACATTGTGGCAAGTGGCTGACCAGATCGCGCAGCTACTACTTTAGGTAGGAATACATATAATAGTGGCACATAGACATAAACAAACACATATATAACACATACAGGCAAAGAAAGAATTGAGATCTTTTCGAGGCATAGGAAGTGGCCCTGAAAAGGGCCTTTGTTTTTTTTCTTTTATTATATCCATTTTTTCTACCAGCTTTTCACTTTTCCAATGATTTATTTCTTTTTCTTTTTCTTTTCTTCTTCTGATATTCAGTCTGGATGTCCCATAGCTCAAAATATTTGTTGTATTTTATCCAGTTCTGATTTGGTTTTTTAAAGTGTTGTTTCTTTTCTTATTTTCCTTCTTCCTCTCTATTACCAAGGTTTCCTTGATCTTCTTGACGTCTTTTCCCACTACCTTTTTCGTAATCTCTTCTCTTTTCTTTAAACTATCTATGCCTTTCTTGACAGAAGGCCACTTGGTTAAATGGAAATGCCTTTCAATAACATCTGACTTCCATAACAATATCAAAAACCTCCTTTAAGTTTCCTATTTTGACATATTCCGGAAAGTTGAAGTCATATAGAAATGGGGATTTGGTTTATTTATATAAGGTACGGGTATTTGCTTTCAACTGAAATTAAATCTTGTTTGTTCTTACATAGATATTAATGGAGTGGAGTAGTATTTTTAGTGGATAGAAATACAATAGTTTGAGTTTGGTATACAGTAAGTTATGATAAAAATTATTATCGTTTAAAACCAAGCTATAATTTATTGATTAAACGGCGTGTAAACTATGCTTAGTTTTAGAATTAAATTAAATAAGTGTAATTAGTATAATGTTGGTTGTACATTGATGTCATTACCTTGTGCGCTATTTTATGTGTGGTGTAGTCTGTCCAGTTCACGGTCAGTTTTCTTTTATTCCTTTGTTCCCCTGCAGCTGCAGGCATGTGCCTGTGGTGTAGATTGCTGTTTGTAGTCATGAAATTTAAATTTAGGTGATATAGTTTAAGAAATCCTTTGTGTGTATCGTTTTCATCTGTTGTATTGTTTTTCTTGTGCAAATGGTACTGGATATTAGATAAATATATTTTCAAGATCGCTAGTACGAATTTCTACCATCACATTAGGAAAGAATTGTGTGACAAAGATTGTCATTGTCACTTGGTTTCTCCTTTGGAACGTGTCATCGTTGTATCTTGATTACAAACTTTGACTAAATTTACAAATTACTTGAACTCTTTACATCTCAAGGTTCAGGTGTAAGTCATCGTTTTCAATTTTCTTAAATGTTATAATAAATTAAGGGGACGAATTAATGGGGGGGGGCTGAATCAGGACTCTCTTGGTTTTGTGACAAAAGTGGAGAACATTGATTAAGGCTCGCTCATGTCGTCTTCCAATGAATTAGAACTAACACTAAAGCCCCCATCTCTGTGCATGTATGTATGTATGTATGTATGTATGTATATATATATATATATATATATATATATATATATATATATATATATATATATATATATATATATATATATATATATATATATATATATATATATATATATATAAGATTGATAGATAGATAGATGAATAGATGGATAGATAGATAGATAGATAGATAGATAGATAGATAGATAGATAGATAGATAGATAGATAGATAGATAGATAGATAGATAGATAGATAGATAGATAGATAGATAGATAGATAGATAGATAGATAGATAGATAGATAGATAGATAGATATGTAGGTATGTGATGGTCCTCTCTCAGACAAGAATTTAGCTTACAAACCCCCATCCCATCAAAATTGAATATATTTTGACTGTGACATTTTTTTTTATCACCTTATATAAATCTTTCCTTCACAAAATTTGAAGCACAAAAGGGATTCTAGCTCATTAGATGTTTTTCATATTAAACAAAAAAATATTATATAATGTCATTCTGCCATTCAATCCGACATGGATTTGATCTGACAAACAAATTTTGTAAGAGATTTAATTCAATGAAATCAGCCTAAAGCTGTAATGGTATAAAACCTAATATAATAAGCGATTGTATTAAAAAAATTTGGTTACCATATATTACCAAAATATGGATCAGTATGGTCATTCGCAACTGAAGATGACAGATGATCTAATGATATTTATTGACAATATGGTTGATAAAAATATTTCTAAACTAAAAGAAAAAAAAAAATAACACCAGTATGATGTTGAGTCTACTATTTCACGATTTATGTCGGATAAAAATAGTACGGTTCTTAGAGTCTCTTTCAGACATACATCCCGGCGAATTTTTTAATGTTCAAGACGAAACTTTAGAAACACAATATATTTTATGTAGGCCTTTTTTGTGGCCAACGGGACTCTTTGATTTTGTTAAGACATTACCACCAGCTTTTTTCTTAAATATCCGGACCGAAAGTTTAGAAACTCAGAGTGCTGTCTATTTAAAGGATTTTATTGTGGCCAGGTCTCTAATGAGAGTCATTTTAGTCTAGCAAAGTTTCTTTTGGAATGACCCTTGCGTGGGATACCCTTTTAGTGAAGTCACAAGATCACGTACGCACATCATCCTGCTGTTTATTTTTGGACGGCACAGACGATACAAACACACAGCATAACCTTATCTTAACGTGGGAGCCTTATGTACGTCCAACAAATTTCGTACATTCTCCCACCATGGCTGAAAAGTGCACCCACCACGTGTTTACATGGTGGGAGAGTGTATTTTGTTTGTTGGATATCGAAGAAGTGCTCCGAACCATCCATCGTTTTTAAAATTGCGATGTCAAATCCAGCCAGAGCCCTACCCATCGATTTCGTCTGTGAAGGGAATTGAACTCTGTGTGCCATGACATGAATCCAGCATTCTAAAACTGAACTATTGAAAACGATATTATAAATAAATTTAGAAATACATGATTTTTGATTTTGTATTATGCAGACGAACGAAATCCTTATATTAGCTGAGACTCTATACGATCGACCGTTTCCAAGGATAATACTATATGCTGAATGAAATACTCAGGCGCTATATAGACACATTACTTAAATGACATTCGCTTACAATCGATTCTAAACATAAAGATAAAGATCTGATTCCGAAAACATAGTTGTATAAAAATCGAGGAACACATGATTTTGCTTTTATATTGTACAGAAAAATGAATCTTTTTTTGCCTGAACACAGACTGAATTGCAATCACATTATTATCTTTCACAATACTCTATGACATATAGAAGATCTACCGTTGTCAAGGACACTGATTGAATGACTACATTAATTCAGAGAAATAATCAATATACTGTGATTATGTGATGTGAATATGATTTTTAACGTAGCTTTACCAATTTTTCAGTCATATCGCTACGATGTCTACAGTGTGGCAGTTTATAGTGATGTCTAGCACTGGGGCAACATGCCGCAGACATGTTGCATTATGTCCAACCCAGTCATATTATCCTGAAACCAGGCCGACCAGTCCTAACACTAACCTCTTAATGCAGAGGCAGCTGTTAGTACCATTTTTGTTTAGTCTTTGGTTTGACTCGACCGGGGATCGAACCCACGACCTCCCGCATCCGAGGCAGACGCTCTAACCACAAGACCATCGGAGTGGTTACAATATTGTGTATGTTAAATGATACACAATATATACATGCTTGAAAGTCGAGGCTAAACTACAGACAAAAAGATAAAAATCTGCTATAGCATTATGCGCTTGTAAATCAGATTTTATCTTGTTTGTTTTGCTGATTGCTTCTAGCAAAACTGTGTAGACCGAAACCTGTTTGTGTATTATACGAGAGCATATTTGAGTATGTTCAGTTGGACGTAACTTATAAACGAAAATCTATAGTAACTATATGTTATCTACATAAAAGGACTTGCTAGTTACTTTGGCAAATAAAAAACTATTACCAGGATTTGCAGGTCTTAAAATACTATCAGATTTACAACTCATTACATTTCATTAGCAGAAAAAATGCGAACAAAATGTTATAGTATAAATACTATGTTGGATAACTATAAAATATTTTAGGCTTTGCTTAAACAATATTATCTCCCTTTTAAAAACAGATAGTATGTACAGAGTGATATTTCTTAACCAATGAACAGTGTCTGGAATGTCGCTATCATGTATAATGTACAATCGTGATTGAATATATACAATTTAATTGTACAAGATTCTTTACGACGAAACTCGGTGTTTTCATTGCTATTTTACTTAGAAGATACTCACTACCTTTCGCAGAAACCTTCGTCCTTTGTATATCTATGTTCATTTTCTATACTGATTCTGGCTGATCGGATTATGAAAATTGTTATATTTTAGTGTAAGATCATCTCGTATATTTCCGATATAAATATATTTGCTATCGTCTGATCTGACAAGGAAGAGTTTGATACTATCAAATTTACTAAAACAAATGACTAAAAGTTCATCGTTAAATTCAAATGATAAGTGTTGATTATTTTTATGTTGCTATTAACTCCAATGATTAATATTAAATTTTCAAAACATTATTTCTGATGTTTAGATACAATTATTTGCATAATGTCCAAGAGGTTCCTGCAATACCTTTTATGATAACAGTTGGTTAGTCCACGATTTTTTTTTCGTATTCGTTTCAAGTTTACGATGATTTGTTCTGATGACATTTGTTTTGGCAAAAACTGGCGCTATTGGATAGCACCATTTCAAAATCGTCAAAATGCATCATCTATTTCATTAAGGAATACCTTCGTTTTTGGTACATATATTGTCATCCAATATGAGGGCATACTTTTTGCTTCTACAATGTATATATATATATATATATATATATATATATATATATATATATATATATATATATATATATATATATATATATATATATATATATATATATATATATATATATATATATATATATATATATATATAACTACCGTGTCTACAAAGGTTATGTAAAACTACGGGATTAAAATCTGGAGCATGAAACTTTAAAATGCAACTGTTATGAGCTGATCCACGATATTGGCCGGTCAAATGACAATGATCTTGCACCTTATCATTGATTTCTTTGGAGTCTATAAACAATTTTTCACAACTACAATAATCAACTGCATCATCAAAATCGAGCTTTTCCTTAGACGTTTTTCTTATCGAACTATTTTAAGTAGTATGTTAGAAATTTTATTGCCCGTGTCTACTACATTTTTACTAACCTCACGGCAGGATTTTCACCTCTATGTAACATCGGACATAAAAATTTATTGATAGCACAAAAAACTACATTTTAAGTTACTCTGCAAGGAATATGTTGTTGTATTTTTATTGGATTTATTGGGATTATCTTCTGCTCCAACCACAGGAAGAAGTATACACTCGAAATCGGCGTAAATAACAATAGGAATATCTAGTTTATGATCACAATTTTTGAATTCTTTTTTTTCTTGCTGAGCATAGTTATATTTTGAACATTGACGCAATATTTAAGATGATCCTCTAATGTTCTAATACTTTATCACTAGAATATTCTTTTAAACAACCGTAGCAGGAATATTATTTTTATTGTTACTTTACTATCCGCCAACTCAGCCGTTAAATTTGTTTGGCCATCAATAATATCCCTGATAAAATAATAAATTTATTGTACCTTGTGTTGCATTTTCTGATATATCACGGATAAACCATTTTGTCGCTTATCTATTCCGAAAACTTTAACTGAGATAATGTTTTGTTTTTGCAAATTTTGTTATATAATTTTCTGCTATAGGAAAAGTTATTGATAAAAATTTAGTTCGTCTTTGTTTGGAAAATACCTGTTAACGCGATCAGATTTTATTTTCGGTTGCAAAAATCGCAGAAACAATAGACCATTGAAAACATGTTATCATTGTTTTTGACAATTATTCAGCATTTTATGTGTTTAGTTTGTTGAGTGAGGTCGAAGTACGAAGGCGAAGTACATTATATTTTCCTGTATGAAAGAAAACGTCTTTATCATTTCCGGTTTGCAGCACCATCATGATGAGATAAATTCTTCTAAATGTTTGGTTTTTCTTGATGCATTTTATTGCCAACCATTGCAATGTTTCTTGCAGCTAATATTTGTCTCGATTTAGCTGTTACATATGATTCTGAAATTTGATAATCGAAATTTTTTATTTTAAAACATATTAAATATATCTTCAACTTTGGTTAACTTTGATAAAATCATATGATATGAGAGGCAAGTTCTTGACATATAACAGGTTGTGAAAGATGAAATAAATTTGTGGAGCTAACATTTGCTAAAATTTTCCATCATCAAGTTTGTAACTATTATCATAACCTGAAAATGCTGAAGCACTTTTTATGTGATAATGCAAGTTTCACATTATATATATATATATATATATATATATATATATATATATATATATATATATATATATATATATATATATATATATATATATATATATATAGTACTATTTTGTATTTAATTTGAATTTGTTTTAAATTCCTAATTAGATATATGAAAAACCCTAGTTTATGATGACAGAAAATTTGAGATATCTGCGATTAACAGCGGAGGAGCAACAAACTTAATAGTTCACCCAATGTACAAGTTATATGCTGCAAATGCACTTGGTTCTGTTATCAATATAGAATCGAGCAATCTGCTGATATATAAACACTAGCTAACATGTTAATTTCAATAAATGTTGATACAAAAAAATGAATTAAAATGTTTAGAAAAGTTTTTATACCTTGTTTTGCAGCGATATTCTGGAAGGACTACGAGTATACAGAGGAAAAAAGTGCAAATGCTGATGATAATATTGAAAATTTAGGAGTACAACATGAATTTCAACTTCACCCAATATCTGATTTGACAAGGGACTTATTAGACATATAAGAAGAAAAGAAATGGATATTTTGGTGTTAATGTTCGCGGAACAAAAATTAATTTTGTACATTATCAATTTCGTTGTTTTGTGTTTGGGACTTTTAATGAGCTATTACCTAATAATTTAGTTGAAGATAATAAAAATAGTATTAAAACAGATAATCCTTTGGAAAATTTAGATGTGGTTAAGGCAAAAGAAAACACATGACCTGGAGATGGTTTTGATGATTCTGATTTTGAAAATCCTGCTAGACAAATAGTTTCAATAAATATTGAAATTGGAGAAGAAGTAAAATTTGAATCAATAGAATTTGCGGCAAAATATTATCAAATATCATAACCCATGTGCAGTAAATTTTGTAGATTATAATGTAACTAAACAAGCAGCGTCAAAGTTGATATTTGGCAGGTTTATCTTTAGATGCAATAATTAATGATATCTTCTAGATCATTTCGAGTAAGACAATTATGAATAAATCCCATAACACCATCACGATTATATCGTAATATCATCATTTCATTTATATTAAATTTTATTTTTCTGCTGCTGTTAATAAAAATTTATCAGTTTCGCCCAGTGTTATCATAGCATCAACAAAATAAAAACTATGTCCCAACATATATATGTGAATTACCTAATCTAGTTCTTTTTGATTTAGTATATTAACTCTTTGTTAATATTATGTTTCTCGAACATTCTTGTTATTATTAATTAGATAAAGATTATTATAATAATGAGAAAATTGCTGAATTCGGGAGATTTTGTCTCAGGTTTCAAATTTTAGATTAGAAAATAGTACTGATGATAGATTTGCAGGTTATAATGAAACTTATATTTCTATAACTGTGACAACGATCATGAAGATGATGTTGTTAGTAACAAAAAATTAAACAGACCAACAAATTTGCAATATGATGTTAAGTACAATAATTCTCAAAATAATAACATTGAATTTTACTGTTCCCGAGCCTCAAATATTTTGGCAACTTATGAACATCTTTTTAAACATAATAGGCTGAACAACAAAGAAGCATAAAATACGATTTTATTTTTGCTAAAATATTTAATTTCCTGTCAATCGATAAGGCAAGAAAGATATATTTAATTTCTTTATGTAGACCAGTAAAATGTAAAAAGCATTAATACAAAAATGAAATTTACAATAATATTACTCAATAGACCTAGATAGTACTCAAATATTAAATTGATCACTATACCCATGCCATTTGATTAAACGTTTGCTGCCGCGCTTTTTGATATTTTTTTCTATAGCAAATATGTTATTTTTCGGAAGTTCTTGCTCATAAAAAATGCCAGTTATAGGCTCACCTAATATCAATAGCAATAATCTTAATATCATTTCAGTAACTTATGCGAATATTCTAATTCCTGTTCCTGTTTGTTTCTTTTTCAATCCTATCTAAACGCTTCTTTATAATAAACTTCAATAAATTTTAAAAAGTTAATTTATTTTTCAACATTCACTTTATCTCTAACCTTTTTGAACTATTTCTAAAAACACCAGCAATTACAGCATCTCTAGCTCTGTTATAAAGTTCTTCAACATCTTTTATTGCAGATGTATCAGTTTCTTTGTAATCTCCTACATTTGTTCCATAATGTCAATTAATTATTTTAATGAAATCTTCATATTTTTCTTTTACCCAATAATACATATTATCAACGTCGGAAATTTTATACTCGTCAATAGAATCAAAATATTCTATATTATT